ACTTACACGACAACAGGCTTGGTGGGCAGAGACCCTCGGTTGCTTCGATTTCCACATCCAGTTTCAACCGGGCCGCGAATTGAACAAACCAGATGCACTCTCGCGTAGACCTGATCTAGAACCCCCGGCTAACGAGAAATTGTCGTTTGGAACACTACTAAGACCCGAGAACCTATCAGAAACGTCATTCAACGCTGACCTCGATAGTATTGAGGCTTGGTTTGAGGAAGAGATCATTGAACATGCCAATGTCGAAGATTGGTTTGAACAAGATATTGGTCAAGGATCAGTACCTGAACACGTCGAAATTGATGCTTTAAGTAAATCTAGTGACGCACCGGTGTGGACAGACGAGCAAATCATGGAGAGAGTGCGACAATCTTCTAAGACGGACAAACGAATACAGTCAAACCTGTGCAATTGCATAATTTGGGTGGAAGACTTTTCCTATGCATTTTCACGGGTTATGCAATTCCATTGTCTAGTTTGGCGGTAAAAAGTATCAAGATCTAGGAATTTTTCTATGCATTGTCACAGGTTATGCATCTGCGCAGGTATGCATTTGCACAGGTTTGACTGTAGTCAATCTGATCAAAGCCCTCTTGAGACCTGCAGTTGCCGAACTACAAGGAGCACTAGATGGGTATGAAGTTCACCATGACGTACTTTACTATAAGGGGTTAGTGGAAGTACCAGATGACGCAACCTGCAAATTCGAGATCCTACGCAGTCGACACGAGAGTGTGCTAGCCGGGCACCCGGGTCAAGCAAAAACCCTGAGCTTGGTTCAACGCCAGTATCGATGGAAGATGATGAAGGCCTATGTGAACAAGTTTGTCAACGGTTGTGTCTTGTGCGCACGGGTCAAGTCGTCAAACGCAGTGCCATTTGGCACACTAGAGCCCTTACCTATACCGGCCGGCCCATGGACAGACGTTAGCTATGACCTGATCACCGACTTACCGTTGTCTGATGGTAAGAATTGCATACTGACGGTGGTAGACCGACTTACCAAGATGGGGCATTTCATTCCCTGTACGACGGAGATGACATCAGACGAGCTGGCAACCTTGATGCTTGCCAATGTCTGGAAACTCCACGGCGCCCCAAAGTCCATAGTATCGGACCGCGGTAGTGTGTTTGTATCTAAGCTGACTCAGTCCTTGAACCAACAACTAGGAATAGAGCTCCACCTGTCGACGGCCTTCCATCCACAAACAGACGGGCAAACAGAAATAGTCAATAAAGTAGTTGAACAGTATTTGAGACACTTTATCGCTTACCGACAAGACGACTGGAGTGAGCACTTACCTTGGGCCGAGTTCGCCTACAACAACGGAACACACTCGTCGACAGGTTTCTCGCCGTTCAAAGCAAACCTGGGCTACGACCTATCGTTTGGGAGAATACCATCATCAGAAAGGTGCATACCTGAAGTAGAAGTAAGACTTCAAAACATTGAAGAGATCCAAAATGAATTGAAAGAGAACTTACAGAGAGCTCAGGAGGTGATGAAAAGAGACTATGACCAGGTACGACGAGCAACACCTGATTGGAACATCGGTGACGAGGTATGGCTTAACAGCCGTCACATCTCCACCACAAGACCATCTGCAAAGCTAGACCACCGATGGCTTGGCCCATTCACGATCGAGAAGAAAATATCGACTTCAGCCTATAAGTTGAAATTACCAAGCACGATGAGTAGAATCCATCCCGTCTTTCATGTCTCTGTATTGCGAAAGCACTCACCGCATTTGATTGAGGAAAGACAGGAGGCAGCCCCATATCCGATCGAGATCGACGGCGAGGAGGAGTGGGAAGTCGAAGAAATCCTGGATAAACGAGTAAGAAGACGCAAGACGGAGTACCTTATTAGTTGGAAAGGGTGTGGCAGGTCGGAAGACTCGTGGGAGCCAGAGGCTAATGTGATCAACGCAAAGGAAATGATCGCCACATTTAATTTAAAGTTAAGGCAGCAGAAGGTCACCGAAGGACGAGGCGCATGTGAGAGGGGTGAAGCTTTTTCCCACCGGGTTTTTTAATGCAAGCCCCGGGGAAGTACGCAGGGCCGCGAACGGGGAGCCTGGGCGTAAAGGGGGGGATAGTGTTATGATCCCACTTCACGGATCATGAGATGTCACGACACGTGACAGGTGAAGGACCGCACTCACTATATACTACTGTCCTCATTGTACTTTGCTTCCTCACGCTACAATACTCATACCAAGCATAGATCACCTTCTCCTCCGTCCCAAGCCCCAGACCCCGTAGCCGGTCATAACAATAATATCATCATTAAGTTATGCAAATTGTTCTTTTTAGAAAATCAAATCAAATCAAATTCGTGATGCTAATGTCACATCTTGAGAGGAAGATGGACAAAGAAAGTGTTAAATATTAAATATTAATTTGATAGTGATTCTAGAGGCCTTTTTTGGTTGAAGTTGCTTACTCTAGACAGGAGTGACTTGGCTTCCTCTCAATTCCATAACAAAATCAAGCCAAGATGAGTTCAATTTGCTCTTTTGAAGAAACTGCCTTGTAAAATTTTACCTTACCTTGCACCGCTCTTACAAAACCTTTCGTAGGAGGTGCTAAAAGGTGTTACAAGATTGGTTTTCCTAGGCTCATTGACAAGACTCTTGACTCTATTCTTATCATTTGTGAGAAGATATGCTTTGAGTGAATAAACTACTATGTACTGATTTAGAACTTGGAAATTATTTGTATAGAAAGATATGATTTTTTTTAATACATTCAGTCATCGTTGGATTCATCGAGATGAGTTGACGGGGAATGGTACCAAAGATGTCATTTGGGCTCTGGCTTATGGTATTAATTGTCAAGGGATTTGGTGATCTTTTTTTGGATAGAATAAAGTCTTTTAATGTCTGAAATTTGAAATGTTGATCGTATGATGATGATTTATTTTCATATTTCAAGACCTCAAACTTCAAAGATATAGAACATCATGAAATTTCCTGGTGACTTAGCCCATTCTTTTTTATAATTGACGGGGGGAAAAGCTTCTTAGGAATGACTGTAGATTGTCACATGTTTCTAATTTGAGAAATGTTAGTGATGATTTTGAAGTAGTATAGACACAACAGCCCACATATAATTACCGAGCACCAGTTCCCTGTCATATCTTACGGGCAGGGGAAGTAAGCTTTCACACAAGCAGAACTTTGAGTTCATCTTTCGCTCATAATGAACATCGTGTATAATTGATATAAGCGTGTAAATAGACGATAAAGACTAACTATAAGAGCAATAGGCCTTAAGCGATACAAGAGATTCAAAATAGTCCAAAGATTGTCCAAAACATTTATAACAAGGAGTATGAAGAAAGAGACGTCCAGACAACAGGCTTCTCAATAGCTATGATAGAGAAGAAGTTGAAAACGGTATATCAAATCATTGAAATAGACGGTAAAAACTAACTTAGAGCATCACAGCTATGTATGAGCGATACAAAAGGTTCAAGATATATCCAAAATTTTCACCAAAACATTCATAACAGCAATATGAAGAAAAAGGCGTTTTATATAACCGGCTTCTAGATACCTATGATAGAGGAGAAATTGAAAACGGTATATCAAATCATTGAAATAGAAATAGACGATGAAAACTAAATAGAAGAGCAGCAGGCATGTACGCGAAACAAGATATCAAAGGACGCGTCCAAACATTCTAGCAGTAGATTTATAGCAAGTAATTCAAAAAGTATGGCGTATATATAACCATGATAAATGATAAATTGAACCCCGTATGTTAAACATCGAAATCCGCGAGTTGTGATTGTTGCAGAGGACAGTTTCGATCATCGGGATTCTTTTCCAAGATGAGTTGGACGAATGTACATAGTTTGAATAAGGCGGCGTTGATATAACCATAATAGATGATATATTGAACACCGTATGATAAATCAATGAAATCCGCCAGTGATAACTGTTGCAGAGAACAGATTCGGGGACTGAGATTTTTTTCTAGTTTTTTTCCAATTTTTTCTAATTTTTTTCCAATTTTTTTCCGAGAGGATTTTTATAACTGTACTTAGTTTGAAGGAGGCCGAGTCTATATAACCAAGATATGAAAACAGTATGGCAACTCATTAAAATCCTCCAGCTGTCCCGGCTTCAAGAGCGTTTTGATGACTGTATGAAGCTCAAAGACCACGGAGTCTATATAAGAGAATAGATGAACCGCATATGTTAGATCATTGTAACTGTTGTAACTGACAGATTCAGGAATCAACAAAGAGGAGTCTCATGAACATACCTAGTATGAAGTATAACCATGATAGAGGATATGTTAAAAACCGCAAGTTAACTCGTCAAAGAAGTCCGCTAGTTGTAACTGTTCCAGAGAACAGATTCGGGATTCGGGATCCTTTTCCAAGAGGAGTTCGATGACAGTACGGAAATCGGGAGGGACCGAAGGAAGAAATTGTGGTTTGGAATGTATAATGTTGTATGAAAGACTTCTTCCATCACCTGAAGAAGGGATATTTGATACGAGAAAAAGAAAAATCGAGTCAGTGACTAAACAAAGGGGACGATTCGGAGAGAGAAAGAGATATGTCTAGAGAGGAATACGTACATGGCGTGAATGGCTTCTGTCCGATTAACATTTCAAACGCCATGACTCCCAAAGCCCACCAATCTATCGCTTTCGTGTATGGAATGTGTCGGAGCACCTCGGGAGCTTTAGCAAACGGAGTTCCACAATTGCCTCGCGCAAATCCAGAAGTCGTTATTATGGCTAGACCAAAGTCAGAGAGTCTGATTCGTCCATCGCAGCCCATCAAGACGTTCGCAGGTTTGACATCGCGATGAATTATCTTCTTTTGATGAATATACTCTAAAGCGCATCCTATGTCTAACATAATTTTCTTGACATCATCTTCCGGGATCGTAGAATACTGAATGATTTGTTCTAAATCGCCCCAGGCGAGTTCGAGAGTTATAAACGCTCGAGCGAGATCGAAACAATGTTCATAATATTTGATAATGAGGCTATGATCGAGTTCGTTAAGGATTAAAATTTCTCGAATTAAAGAATTGGTGACATCATTTCCTCGTTGATCGTATCGTGGAATAATTTTAACTGCATATAACTTTTGATCGCAGTTAGATCTGGCCACACAAACTTCACCAAATCCACCTGATGCGATCAGCCCCAAGTGTTCATATTCCCGGTCCATAAAATGCTCGTCTTCAGAAGTGGAATCTAGAGAATGAGTTTCTGGAGTTTCTGGAGTTTCTGGAGTCAAGGGAGTTTCTGGAGCTTCTGGAGTTTCTGGAGTCAAGGGAGTTTCTGGAGTCAAGGGAGTTTCTGGAGTCAAGGGAGTTTCTGGAGTCAAGGGAGTTTCTGGAGTCGACGGAGCGGGAGGAGGTTGAGTACAATTATTGTCGATCATGATGGAATGATGAGGGTTGATCGTATATGATTTAAAGGGTCGGTGAAGATAGAACAATGGTATGGATCTGATAAGCAGGTGTCGGAGGACTAGAAGTAGTAAGACTAAGATAGAGAAGCTCTGATTGGATTGAGTGAGGCCTGTCGTTGGACTTGTAGAACGCGATTGATGTTGATCGTGATCGACGTTTTTATCGACAGAGATATGAAGTATAGGTTTTGAAAATGTAAACAAGTTACAAGCCGTATGGGTTTATGAAGCACGATTGGGGCTGAGGGATGGTGCTGAGGTTGAATAGGATTGGCCCTAAGCAAACCTAGTAAACAACTTCAAGATACAAACAAGAGTACGAGTCATCAAGACGGTAGTTACACTTTTGTTGTAGTCTATCTATTGTAAATGGGTTCCCAATGCCTCCGTTCAAAATACAGCGTTCGTAATCCTAGAGACACAGAGAAATCAAGTGTACCTTCACAGCTGTATCATCACTCGATTCAAGTCCCTACCACACATGAGAGGGATTCAAGTCTTGCGCGCTGACCCAATATCAAAGACCATGATCGGTCAAGTCAAGCGCTCCAGAAGCACTCAACAAGAACACGCTGTTGATGCTGCTAGGAGATGTTTTACGAGAAAAAGGCAGACGATATACATCATGCGACCTTACTGTTGATCTTTAGCTGACTCAACTGGCATACTAAAGATACCTATAGATATCTTTAGTACGGTGTAGCTGAGTCCAGAGATTCAACTGTATCTTGAGTGAAGTCTTCTTCTATGTTCATCAAGTGGCTCAAGATTGGGACCATAGCTGCTCCGAAAAGCGACTCAGAGGTATACTTCTGATGACGTGAGCAAGTTTAAGTCTTCAATGGATTACCAAACCAGATCATCTCAAGGTAAAAGGAGCTAGTTTAAGTGTCTTCTAGATACACACACGAATAAAACTGTGAAGATGATATTTTCTCTTGACTAATCAAAGAGACAATAATGGATACAACTGCAAAGACACCATAGCGCTGGAGCGAAAAGTGGAAAGTTTCAACGGAAAAGTGTAAAGAAGGCTATAAAGAACATCCCAAGCTGTAAAATAGAGTCTTCATTCAAATCACACACGATCAAAACATAAACTTGACACAACATTTCCCCTCGATCAGCTATTTTCCTGTTACCGGATTTCTCTGTGTGCACGATGTTTGAATAATTGAATAAAACCTTTTATTCAAACGTTGATTTTCCATCAGATTAGATACAATCTTGACGTGAGATAGTCGCTGTGTCAAATTTGAGTGTAACTTGAACACACAAGAACAAAACACCTTATTGATGTCCTTCACACTTGAGTGTCACAAACGACTTTGAGTACAAAGCACTCTCTACGGTGTGAACCCAGTATGTATGATCATGAAAGTGAGGAAGTGCGAAACTGCACAATCTTCATTGATTAAAGCAAACAAACAAAGATGAGATAGGTAACCTCATGCATCATAATCACTAATGAACTGAATAACTGTGAAGAAAAATGAAATTGTTCAACCTCTTTCTAAGTATAGTCAAAGAATAGTCAAGACGATTTGTATTATTTGCTAATCAAACGTAGAAAGTTCAACGCAACTGCAAAGAACAAAATTGTGCGAGGGAACAAGAACAACGACATTATCAAAAGTTCAAAGCAGCCTAAGAACATCCCGCACATCTCTTCAAATTGCACACTATCAGATCACATTGTCAAAGAAAGTTCTTGTTCATCTGTTTTCTTGTCTCCCAATGACCTTATCAGCACATTTTTTTGATTCATCATAGTGGCGGTGAATTAACTTGGTTATGTTTTTAACAATGATAAGCGTGCTATATCCGAGCCTTCCTGGAAGTCGAACATGGCAAAAAAATGTTTTTTGCAAAAAAAAAAAATGTTTTTTGATATCTGATGAGTCAACAGCAGTGATGAAAGCAGACTCGGTTTTGACAAAAACCGGATATAGTTGACCCAGTTGATGTTTCTGGATGGGAATTTTGTGTATACATAAATCCCATTGATCACATCAATCTTGCGTACAATGTCATTTATGGATCGGATTGGCAATGGAACCGATCTTGACCCCATGAAGAAGTGAGTAAATTCAGAAATACACAATGATTAGAACACAAAATGATATTCCAGTTCAATGCCAATGAGCTCCATTCTTTGCAATCATAATTTATAGTCAGGCAGAGTCCAGACACTGGGCCTTTGACCATGAAGCGGTCCAATCGATGTCCAAAAAAATCATAAGAAGCCCACGCGCGGCCGCCTCCGTGCAGGCCCCGAGAGAGGAGACCGGGACTCAGGTCAAGTTAGAAAACACCCGACCGATCGATATTATACCCCGCGGGCCGCACTGCTGACGGAAGGATAAACCGACGAACTTCACAAGATAAGAACTGGTGCTTATGATCATCTTCATCATCCTTAATCCGATTCCTAATGGCGATTATCCATCCACATTGAGTGGGTATTCTAAAATTCGAAGAAGATGAGTCTTTATGAACCGAAATCGAGTAAACCATCCAATCCGTTGTATTTTCTTCTTCGAACAGCAAGTTCAGCGGGTGGCACCGGAAGTCAGGACCCCAGCAAAGCCTAAGTGGGAGGTCTAAATTTGATTGATTTTTAGCCTTTTTCGTACCAGAACAAAAGACTGATCCCCTCTTTTTTTCACTACTTCAATTCCAGACGTATGTGTTTCACCTCCAGGGTTTAAGAATGATCATTTAAAAACTTGGTTTTCGCTTCCACACCCTCCACGTTTGAGAAAAATAATTTGGTCGACTTAAGCAAAAGGAAACTTATTTTTTTGAGCAAAATAAATATATGATCAAATCAGGCTTTTTGAGCAGAGCTACAATTGGACATCGAACCTCCTGCAGTCTGGATGCTTTGATTTGTGTTGTGCAATCGACCCAGAAAATTTGACTTCAACTTTTCATAAAAGTGTAAATATGTACGAAAGCTTAAGCTTCTCTCAACAAACTCCAACAAAGTTCCATACACTCCTGAACTGACATCTACCTCAACTTTCAAGTATTCTGCACATTTTGAAATTCATATGCTCATGAGGCAACCTTGTTTTAAGAAAATTGAATTCATACCTATCAAAACCCTACATACGTCTAAAATTACTTTTTCAAAAATTTATCCTTTCCAGCTCAATGAGCTTTGCCTTTGGTAAGGTTTGTCTGGGTCCTGTGGAAGACTGAAGTGCGTACCTAAAAACCAATGACGCAACTCGCCAATCCTGATCTTAAAATCACCGTACTTGAACTTGTGCATTGGATCTGCAGTTGCTCAAATTGTCAAAAATACCAGTTGAACTTGAGATTAGATGACAACTTACAACACGAAGGATCTCATTACAAGGCATTCAATCCCCTTCACAAGAATAAGAAACTGTTCAATAAAAGTGTAAGTACAACACAAAACAGTAGTATGTATAAATTACATTCCAAATGATCTTTTCAGAAACCATAAACTTGATGCTCAAGGACTTTAAAATGATTGTGCATTGGATCTGCAGTTGCTCAGATTCTCAAAAATACCAGTTGGAATTAGACTTAGATGACAACTTACACCACCAAGGGTCTCATTACAAGGCAGTCAATCCCCTTCACAAAGATAAGACAATGTTCAATAAAAGTGTAAGTACAAAACAAAACAATAGTATGTACAAATTACATTCGAAATGATCTTTTCAGAAACCATAAACTTGAAGCTCAAAGACAAAATGATTTTGCATTGGATCTGCAGTTGCTCAAATTGTCAAAAATATCAATCAAGATTAAATGACAACCTACAACACGAAGGATCTCATTTCTAGGGCAGTCAATCCGTTCTGGAAGAACAAAAAACCATTCAAAGTATAAGTAAAACCCAAAACCAATAGAAGTAAATAACTATATAAATCACATTCCAAAGGATCTTTTTTAGAAACCATAAACTTGAAGTTCAAAGTCAAAGAGAAACTTGAAAAGATTCTCTTAAACAGATATACTACTCAACTAAATCTTACACCTAGTCTTAGTGTATGCAGAACCCAGTACATCACACACACACACTTGAAAAAAACATTTTCATTGCTTACTATGTTGTATGTAATCCCACTAATCCCACTAATTCACTGCTCCCACTAATTCTGCAAAATTCTAATGAAAAGAAATCCCAAAATCCCCCCAAAAAAAGAAACCCTTCTTACAAAAACATAACCAAACTCAATGTTATAAAGAAGAAAAAAACTACAAGAAAAAACTCATTCAAGAAACCAAAAGAAAAGCTCATCAAAGTTTTTATATCTATGTATATTTAATCATCTATGTATATGTAAAGTAAGTATTCAAGTAAGTTATTCAATTCATGATCAAATCTTTCTATGTATTGGTTAAATAAAATTTGATGTATGAAAAAGAAAAAAGAAAAAAAAAACTTTTGGGTTTTTTTCAAACACTTGCAAACAAAAACACAAAAAAAAGCAAAAAAACACACACACACACACACAAACACACAAACACCAAGAAAAAGAAGAAGAAAAAAAAAACAAAAAAAAAACAAACAGAAAAAAAAAAGTAACCAATTTCCTTCCAATTCCGATTTCCTTTTCATGCACAAATTGATTTTTTCAATACCATATATGTATATATATATAATGAAAAAAGAAATCCATTAACATTTCAATATATATCTATATATGCATATGTATGAGCAAAAAAAAAAATCCCAACAAACCCATCATCAAATCTTTTCATCAATTTTAGAACTACCAATCGCACCAAACTTTCCAATTCCAATTCCAATTCCAATTCCTGCTCCAGCTCCAATTCCAACCCCATCACCAACCGGATCAGCAGATTGCCTATTTCCCACCGCAAGCTCAGTCCAATCCCCCCTTCCGACCTCACCCTCTTCCTCATCCCCACCCCTCCCAAACCCGTTCCTACCCACAACTTTTCTTCCTTCAACTTAAAACTTTTAGCAAACGGATTCAAACTCAAACCCGGGTTAGAAGACCTCGATCGAGTATGTTCAAATCCCTGGTTCCTATCTATCATCCTCTGATCACTTGTACTTGTGCTAGGAAGTAAAGATGATGGGATCGGTTCTGATCTTCTTGTTTTGTTTAGATGGCTTTGGTTGGGTTCATAAGTTTCGATTGAATTACTTCTAGATTTGTTTTTTTCTAATCAATTTTCCATCAAATCAGTTTCCCAATCTTTCTCATATTGAAAAAACTTGAATCAAAAACATCTTTTCACAAACAAAACACACACACTTACCAGTTGGAATTAAATTAGGTATTAAACTTTCAATCGATCCCATCAAATTCGAATCCCAAATCGATTCAACCCGATCCTGATCCCCATCTCGATCCAAATCTAAATCTACATCCCTAACTAAATCTTCCACAATCCGATCTTCTTCACTTTTCCTTTTCACTTTCTTTAATCTTTCTAACCTAGAAGCCGGTTTCCCTTCCGAAACTTCAGATTCCAATCCGATTCCCAATCCCTTCGAATGACAAGTCCCAAAATCCATCAAAGGTAACGAACAAGAAGAAGCAGAAGCTGCAGGGCTGGGGTACATAAGTAATTGGGTAGGTAATGGGTTTAATCCATGATGAATAATGGGAGAAGAAGCTGTTGAATTCGATTGAGAATGTGAATGAGAATGTGAATGAGAACCGATAGGACCGAATGGAGAAATACTAGAAGTAGTACAAGACATCAGATTCGAATGATAACCAAACTTGAAATCCATCGAGTTTTTCAAACAAGGTTTATTTAATGGCACCAATGAACTAGCTTTTTGACTCCTACTCGCACTCGTACTGGTCACCAAACTTCTTTCCAAATTAGGTAAATTACTGAAATTGTCTTTGATGTGTTCTTGGATTTCTTCGGTCCATGGGTCTGCTGAATGGGTTATAGGTTTAGGTTCCCATGGATTTAAACTTGGGGTAGGGATCGATTGAATGATAGGGATAAAGTCCATTGTAGGTCGATGGATTAAGTCTGGATAAGTGGATGGGTTCGAAAGCTTAGATGTTGTGTCTTGATTAGATCCTAAGAATGGTTTGAATTGATGAATCGATCGGTTCAAGTTAGGTATAAGATGAGTTTTGGTTTCTTCAATCGGATTTAATGTCGAATTGGTATTAGATCTTGGTCTGTTCGGATTGCTATAAATCTTCATGACTTTTGGTTTATGATCCAACAAATCTGATTCTGGTACTCCTCCTCCTGCCACTAATTCAAGTTTAGTTTGGTTTGTTTTGAATTTCATTTTAAGTTTTCTTTGATTCAAGCTTTCTTTTAGTTTTTTCAATTCGATTTGTTTTTCTTCAAACCTTGAATTCATCTCATCAATCTCATCTTCAGTTCTTTCTAATTCTAATTTCATCTTGATTTCTTCTGTTTTGATCAGCTTGAAATCTTCTTGATACGAAAACTTTACACAATCTTCTTTAAACTTGATGGCTTTCAAATCGTTTTCAATACTCTTCGATTTGATCATTAAATTGTTTTGCATCAGTTTAAATTGATTTAGTTTTTCATTTAGGTTGGAACGTTTGAATTCTTTTAAATCTTTGATCTCATTTAAATGTTTTAGTGACGATTTGAAATGAATCTTTTTTAAATCTTCTTCATTCTTTTTAAATTGAATCGATTTCAACTCTGAATTCAATTTGATTTCTTCTTCACTCTTCTTCATCACCATACTTGTACTAACTCTTTCTGTGGTAGTGGTGGTGGTAGTAGTAGTAGTGGTAGTAGTGCTGCTTAGATCTTTGGTTTCTTGATGTGGTGATTTCGATTTAGATTTCGATTTTTTGGGTTTCGGATTTCGATCGATGATCAATGGATTAGATTCGGTTAATCCATCTTCGATTCCGCCGATCGAAAGTTTTCCAAGTTCTTGATGATGATCTTCTATAACCAAATTCGTACTGATCGTCTCTATAATCTCAACCTCTTCTTTGGTTGTCCTAGATTCAGATGAAACTGGTAAGACTTTATGAAATCCTAATTCATCAACATCATCATCATGACGGATAGGTAAAGTTGGGAATGTAGTTTCATCCAATCTTATCCTTTGAGAATCATTTGGGCTCATCGGTTCACAATGCGATGGGTCCTGTTTTGATTCGGTATCTTCTTTCTGATCATTATGGCAGTTTCGTAGTTTATAATCTTTGAATCGGATTTCATCATCTCCAGAGTCTAGTTCTTGTATCGAAGCTAAAGAAATCAAGAAAACCCAATCAGAATGTGTTGATCAAGAAGTAAGAAGTGGTGATCACTTACGATCACTGAACTTGACTTCTTGTGGCGAATCAGTAGAAACACCATGAGATTTGATCAACTTCCACTTCTTCTTCATCTAAAAAATTCATTCCAAAATTCCAAAATCAAAAAAAAAACAGTCAGCATTCATTGCATTCCATTCAACTTTGGAAAATCTTTTGAAAACCACTTACTAATTTGATTCAAAGTGAACTTCCTATAAACCAACCCCACCAACCCCACCAGTAGATCCCTAAATGCACAAAACCCCAATTCCAAAGCTTTCCAGAATTCATTGATTTTAAAAAGATAATTAAGTTTGAATTGGATCAAGTTATGGATCAGATCTAGTGTGAACCAAGAGCCAAAACAGCCTAGGAAAGTTTTAAAATTCGAAGTACTTGATGTTGATTGAATGAAGATGAGTGTACCGAATAAGAAGTTGAATTTAAAGTAATTTGGAGTGGATAGTTTGAATGAAAGTTTTGATTTCGATTTGAATGATGGTTTTGATAGTGATGGGTTAGATTTTGATGATAAATTGTTTAATGAGATTTGATTAAGGTATTCATGAAATCTTTGATCGGTGGGATTGGTAAGATATCCTAATCAAAATCAAACCATTTAGTTAGTTGATATACTTTCAAGAGTACTGATTGGTTACTTTACCTAAACTGAAAAAGATTAAACCCAATGAAATCAAAATCGATACCATTAACCGATCTTGATCTTGATTCTGATTCTGATTATCAACTAAACTAAAAATACTTGAAATCATTTCATCAATCTTCATCATCTAAATCAAAAAACCAAAATCAAATCGAAAAAAATGGTATCCTATATATATACTTGAAAAACTTGTAAAAAATAACTATATAACCTATCAACTTTTTTTTTAGTTTTTGAAATTTTTTTGATTTTTTTTTTGACTTGGTTTACGAAAAAAAAATTGAAAAAAACAAAAACACAAAAATCTTTTCACACAAACACACACACAGAGAGAAGATTTTTTTTTTCAGAATTCTTTAACACCTGGTCAAAGAGGAAGATGAAAAAAAAAATCAAATTCTGAAACGAGAGGCTTTCAAAAAAAAAAAAAAGTTGTGAGCTGGGAAAAAAAAGTGAGAGAGAGGTTTTTAAGAAGGTGTATGTAGTACAATTTGAAATGATTAAGAAGAAAAAAAACCAAAAGTAAACAAATCAAGAAGAAGGTTTAAGAAGACGATGAGTTTGTTTTAGTCAGTCAGTCGAAAGGATGAAGTAAACAACAAATTGAAAATTTGACTTTGACTTTTTTGGTTTTTGGGGTTTTGATCAGAAATAACGATCAAACTTGCTGATTACCAATATTTCCAATAGACACAGACACAGACACAGACACAGACACAGAGACAAAAGGACAGAAGACAAAGAACCTCAAAGAGTTCAAATCAAAAATCAAAATCAAATGATATCTTCTCCGAGACTTTAATCCGATAAATCGATTCAAGAAAATCAAAGAAGATCAAATGCTATGTATCTATAGAACTCAATTCAATTCAAATATCTTTCACTAGTCTTTCTTTCTTTCTTTAAAATCAGTACTAATTCTATCTCACAATAATCACCTTCAAATCAAATTCTTGTAATCTTGTACGTACAACAAAGAGAATGAGTGTGAAACTTACTGACAACGGGGTTGTGAAGAAATGAGCTGGTGATGAAAAAGTTACTTGAATCAAGTCATAGGTTTCAAGTTTCGATTCAAGTGGCAACCAGTTACCCAAAACTTAAAACTGATCTCCGGTCTAACTCTAAACAACCCCCCAACCATCTTGATTCATGATCCATGATTCATGATCCAGATTCAAAGCTGTGAGTGTGTGGAGACTATGAAGGTTCGTCCAATCAAAGCCAAGACTGATCAAGTGGCAAAGAAAAGAAGAAAAAAAGAAGGATTTTTCAGAGATTTCATGTACATTGTAATTCTTCTCACTCACACACACTCAGTGCTCACACTGGGCTGAGAAAAATGTACTTACACACTACAACTTCTAGATATCACATTCACACCTTTCTTCAAGACCTCCTCTGTCTATCTAAGAGCTATAAAGTCTCTCTCTCTCTCCGCTACATACAGTCAACTCTGATATAACCGATACACTGTCAAAACCGATAATCTCGGCAAAACCGATAATCTCGGCAAAACCGATAATTTTCGGCCATTTTTTTAAAAATTTCAGTGAAGTTGGCTCTGACAAAACCGATACTCCGTGAAAACTGATACAATTTTTTGGGTATCGGTTATATCAGAGTCGACTGTACTTCAACTTTTATCCCGAGTATATCACATGTGACAAATCAAGATTTTACATCATAATACTTTTATCAAATCACATCTTTTTACATACTCATTTCTTTCAAACTTATCAATCAAGCTTGGCAAAAAGATTGGATTTCATTTTTTTTTTGGATAGGATAGATCCGGGTGGAAATATGTAAGTGGAATCGATTGAAGCCTTTGAATGAGGAATGAAGTGGTTTGATCGGATCATGAGCAAGTGGCTCTGAAGTTTACCGAATTGATTATGAAGCATTATATAAGTTCTTTTGTGTGTAACAAATTTCATGAAAAAAATAAAAATAGAAACAAAAATCGATAACTTATCTATTTATCTTGTATCTTATAAAACGTTATTTGAATCATGTTAAAGATTGGTGGTGGAAATTAGAAAACGAAAAATAAGAGGCGTGGTGAACTTCAAGGATCCAATATCTATCACTTCTCGAGAGTAGTACTTGAGTTGGATAGAAATCTGATCTTAACAAGGTAAGCATGAATGAATTCCAATGAGTTGATCACTTTTATTTTAAGTCTTTGGTTCAACAGACTATCAATTTCATACAAAATCCACTTCATGCTCACCATGAGCCTACATACACCAAATCTTTCAAAATATTTCAATGAATGTTTTCAATAAAGTTTTCTATATGTCCAATCCAATCTATGTAAATCAGAAGCATAATTCCATACGTGTACTAAAGCCCCTCAAAGCAGGCAACAAAAAAAATGCAAAAAGAAGACATTCATTAGGTGATCTTCAGATTCACTTGTCAAAAAGCATTATTTTGTCCATCATGAGTGCTTGAGGCTTTCAATTCATTTTGAAATCAAGAAGTTGAAATTTTGATGTCCAATGGTTCTTTTTAATCATCACAATCTGGTCTTCAGCTTCAAGTTCAACTTCAAAGTCTAATATAAGTTTCACCAATTCTCTAAATCATATTGATTTTAAGAACTAAGTCTAGGATGAGTATTTATCTGACTTACACATATATCAATCAAATCATACAAGCCTCAAGCTAATCAAAAAAAATCATCATAAGTTGACTCAGTATAAGTGTCAAGCTCATCAGATCCTTTTTTTAGTTTGCAAAAGCTTATGATATAGATACAACTTTCTATCATCTTCTGATGCTTTGGGTAGTTCTAGTTGATCAGACTCAGTGTATATGCTCACTTTTCTAAATTTCTAATCAGAAGTTCATATTCTACAAAATTCAAACTCATCATTTACTGTAGTGATATGGTCCATTTTGACATTTTGAACTTTTCCAAAACTCGATTCCTGTGCAGAAATTGCTCAAGTGAACTCACCTTCAAAGTACATATCTTTTAACCAATTCTTCAAGCTTTTCAGATATAATACTTACAGATCATTACTTTCTTTAGTCTATTTCCTCTTTATACCACAAAGTTTTAAAGAGTTTGAGAAATGATCCCAGAGCTCAGTCCTGTACATTGTACCATAAATTCTATCAGAGCTTCAAAAGATCTTATAAAAATCTATCACACCACTCATGCGATCAGGATCAGGATCAAGCTCAGAACCCATCATCTGTCTGCCATGTTTATATTGTAGGATCAGGGTTCAGGTGGAGTCTAGCTATCAATGTGTCTGCATGGTAGTGATTAAATTGCAGGCTGAAGGACAGAAGTACAAGTGCCTTGCAGCAGTATCCAGTAGTACTCCCTGAACTCCATGACATACATATGTATGAGTATCACCTGTTGGCGAGATATGGGTGCTGTGATATAGCTTATATCATTATCCCTGAACAAATGCCCAAGTTCCCTTTTCACAGCTCTGCATATCTTTACTGGGGAACATGGAAAAAATCCTATGGGAAAAAACACTCCCTCGCTTTCTCCATTTTTCTTCAGTTTTCTTTGGGTTTTTATGGTCAGGGAATCATGAATGAAAATCATCTACGAGTTCTTGGATGGTCACAAGATGAACTCTATAAGGTTCCCAAACCTTGTGATCATATTCAAATCCTTTTCAACTGATGAAGTATTTGATTTTGTTGTGTTTTCATCTTGCAGTCTAATACATCTTTGACCTCTCATTAATGTTCTCCTTCAACCACAATTGGCTAGGGTGTGGTTTTCTGTTGTTTGAGGATTGTATCTGTTGTTTGTTTATGCGATCCAGATATGTGGAACACTGGATTAATACCCTTCATTGGAGGATGCAATACCAGTTTGTAATCCAACACCAATATCTGTATCATAACATTCAATATTAATGGAATCTCAAAGTACTTATCAATTCACACAACAGATATATCAGTCAATGTTTAGAGAGATGAGTTTGATATGGAGAATTATTGAGATTATAGATAGATGTGTAAATAGAGTGATTTCAATGAAGAATGAACAAGAAGAAAGTGTTCTGAAATTTGAAAAGTTGATAAACTTACAAGAAGCAAGATTGTTTAATTAGTGCTTAGGTTAAAGTTTTTAAAAAAAGGTGGTGAGTAAACTTGTACAAAATACTTTGTAGGTCTTAGTGCAACAGACACACAAAATAAAAACATAAATCAGTCTTTCCAAACACGATTATGACATGATTTGGTTTCCAACAAAGGGCTCTATCTGGTGATGCTTAGGTCTTGTCTTGATGACACAAGGTTCTCAACGGCTTCTATGATCCCATAAAGTTGACAAAGTCCTTGGCCATTAGGATACCTCAAGCAAGGGGCTTACTCCAAACTTGCACAGAATGAATGCTCAGTGTCAGATCTTTTGCAGGCATGATTTTTGCAATCTATCTAGAAGGATCCTAACCAATTATTCATTTTTGTAGTGTATCATCACAGTATTTATGGTACTCAAAGCTGCCTAGTTACATGTATATAGTTTTTGTATATAGTTTTTTAAAAAAAAATTGGCGGGGAAAAAAAATTATATTTGGTTCCCAAAAGTATGTAGCTTCAAGTCCCTGTTACATACTCTTATCTACTTCTGAGAAGTCACAAAGTTTGTTGGAAGGTCACTGGCGTTGCCTAATGAAATGAAATCAGACACCTGGGGTAACAGGTGCAGTGTAAGTAATAGGCAACAAGCCACAAGCTTCAACAAGCTACTGGAAAAATTTTTTTTCTGTGCACAGTGCAACAGGACAAAAATGTGGGGGTAAACGTCTGAAATGTGAGTAGGAGGTAAAAAGTCTAATAGTAGACATATAAGCGTATAAGAGTTAGGTAGTGATTCAATGAGTTGATGTAGTTAGTGAAACACTTACAATTTCTTTCCGATGAGGAAAGAAATTGAGCGTAACAGAGAACATTAGTTAAATGAGAAATTTGAGAGCACACAGACAAAAATTAAACAGTAGAAAAATTGCAGGTCACAGGAGACCTATTCCCAAACAAAACAAAAATGCCAGCTAACTCAAACCAAAGCAACTGAAAACAACCAATACATCCTAATTTGTTCCTCATTCGTACTCAAATTTCCACATGAGTCTT